GGAATTAATGGAGGTTATAAGGAGTTGTGGGTTTGAATTTTAAGTTTAAACCACTCACTCCAATTTTTTTCATTGTTTTGCAGGTCAAGTCATCCCACCTGGGCAACCTATGATCCTTATTTTTTAGCATCTTTAACTTGCACATGATAAGCTTGACATGAACCACAAAGGACAATAAATGTTGCTGGTTAGATCATCCTAAAGATCTATATCACAAAAAAATTCATACAACAAATATATCATTCGACCAACGAGTAATATTAGAGCTCATGATACTATAGTAACTCTACTATAGGATCATAACATCTCATCAAATATTTGTGGAACATACTTGAACCCCACACCATATCATTGTATTCACAATTATGTTTTATACCATATATGGTCAAATACAATTTTCGGGCCAGTGAATACAAATATAAATGTTGGCTAAAATAGTTTTTATTTTCTACTCGAATCCTTTAATTTTAAATCAGCTTCTTTCCTAGACATGTCCCATCAAACCAAATAATCATAGTTATTGGTAACAAGCTAAAGTAGCAACACTGAAATAAAATCTTAAATAACAGTCAAAAGTCATAAGGGTATATATGAGCTTATATAAGCCTCAAGGTCTCACAAAATGAGGAAGCGGTGATCTATTCACTCATTTACCTCATATTGGTTGTAAAGGCACACACAGTATGAAATACGTGCTATAGTATTTTCACATTTCTTAGAGTGTATACCATATTCTTTATAAACGAGTAACATTGTGCAGATTAGTTCAGATATTCGTCAATTATATTTACACCTCTAGACAATCTCCAATCGAGAACTCGGTCTATAACCTCATCCTGATATCTCATCAAAGCAATTGAATCATGTACATTACATGATATCTGAATCTCAGCTTATCACATTCTAAAATGTCTGAGACAATTGCTCATATAAGTGAGTAAATTTCAGCCTGTTCAACTTACTTTATATGTGCACGCAAATCATTATCTCGTAATTCTAACAATATATTACACATGAATTCAAAATTGTTAATCTATGTGCATTCAAAAAACTCAATCAAGATTCTTCTAATATAGTATTATATTCTAGGAAATTCTAGAGATTCAATATTACCAACAAGTATATCTCTAGATATTTTTCAAAGTATAATGATCACATATCATCATTTATGTAGATATATCGCAAAGATATTATTAGTAAAACGAGCACACTCAAATGTATCAGTTATGTACTTAGACTAAAAAATAAGAAAAACTTTCGGAGAAGATGCAACTTCAATACCCAGAAAGTAATGGAAAAAACTCAAATCTTTCATTGCAAAATAAAGAGCTAACTCCAACTTTAGCTCTGCAATCCTATCAGGATCATTACCAATAATAATCATATCGTCAACATATATATATATATATATATATATATATATATAAAAGTAAAACACGACTGGTAATTATACATCTATAAAATAAGCTAAATCATGATAGCTAGTATGAAAATCAATTGAAGTGATAACAGTAGAAAACTTCTCAAACCAAGCTTGATGTGCCTATATGAGACCGTAGATAACTTTTGGGGTTTGTAAACCTCACTAGGTTGGTGAGAAATACCGGGGGAGAACCATATAGAATTCTTTTGGTAGATCTCCATTCAAGAAGGTATTTTTAACATCTATATGAGATATACTACATCGACGAACAGAAGTAACTATGAGAAAGTTATAAATTGTAGTCAATTTGTAATCGGTGCAAAAATTTCCACATAATCCATACCATATCTCCATTTGACTTGGTTTTAATTTTATAGACCCAATGAAAACCAACTGCTCATTTTCTTGGCCATAGAGGTACCAAGTCCTAAGTGTGTATTTGATGCAAAGCAATAAGTTTAGTGGGCATAGCCTCTTGCCAAAGTAGGTCACAAATTGCCTCTATATAGTACAAAGCTTCATAAAGACAACTAGCAGAAGCTAAAAATGAAGTAAAAGAACTAGAGTAACAATTGATGAATTAGGAGCTGCAATCTCATGAGGTAATTGAACGACCATAGGAGAAGATGGAACAATTGATGTATTAGGAGCCAAAGTATTAGTATCTATAGAACTACAACAGAAACCCCATAAAAATCATGATATAAAGTAGGAATAGATGATTGTGGAGTAGGGGACAGAAAAATATCAGCATCAAGAGCGAATGGATCAGTGTAAATAAGATCAAACATAGTCATATTATGAGAGCTAGCAGGAATAGAAAAGAAAAATATATGTTCAAGAAAGATAACATGACGAGAAACGTACAGTTTTTGACTAATTGAATCAAATCAAGGATATTCCTATTCCCTGCACCATAATCTAGAAAGACATAAATAGTAGATCTAGAGGATAATTTACTCTCTCGACATGAAGTCAAATGATAAAACATTTAGAGCCAATGACGCATAAGGAAAACTAATCAGAAACATATCCATACAACTACTCAAAACGAGAGAAACGTAAATTATATGAGGTTTGGATCATATTAATCAATTGAACAACAGTAACAATCGCTTCTCCCCAGGATTCACCAAGCGTAGAAGTAGAGAGTAAAAGAGAAAAGGTCGTCTCAACAAGATGTCTATGTTTTCTTTCAATGACGCTATTCCATTTGGGAGAGTGTCTGTACAAAAGTTTGGTAAATAGTTCCATAAAAAGCAAGCCAAAAAAAAGCATTAGAGATATATTCTCTACCCAAATCACATCAAAAACATTTGATATTGAGTTTTCACGAGTGCTTGAAATGTACTGAAAATACTAAAGAAGTCATAGCAACTTTCATTAAAAAGAAAAACCAACAATTATGAGTGTAAGGGAAGATAGTCTCCATATATCAGAATGAACAAGATTAAATAGGACAACTAAAAAAGAAATATTTCTATTAAAAGATAACTGAAAAAAATTGCAACCACTACAATTAAAAACATCGTAAGTTTCAAATTTCCTAATGCTCCATAGAACTAAGAATTATAAACGAGGGGCTGAAACACGACTAAGGTGAAAGTGCCCTAAATATAATATAGAAGATAAACGACTCAAACGAAAAGATGACAAATTAACATTAGAAGCTACAATTTTTAGTACTCTAAGTTGATCCAAAACATAAAGTGTCCTTTACGGTCAGTCCTAATCAGCTTTTGGGGTTGCAGGTCCTACACATAACAAGTGGAAGAAGAAAATTAGACTAAATATCTAAATTCACATAACTGACTAACAAAAATAAGATTTAAGATAAGACTAAAAATATGGTAGGCATTATGAAGAGACGAACAATGAGTATCAATGGAGCTAACACCTATCATAGGCATAGGAGTACCATCAGCAGTCATATCTGACACAAAAGACTTGGATGATAATGAAACAAAAGAAAAAAATTAAATGATATATGATGGGAAGCCCTATAAAGAAAATGGTATACCTAAATAACTAGAGGATGATAAACATATATAAGAGGCAGACATTGCATGAGGTAGTGTTGCATGTGATTGTGTTGCAGGGAACTTCTGAAACATGAATGGATCTACTGATGGTGCATCCACTACATTATTAGGTTGAGGTGGTTGGTTTCCAAATTTCCATGGTGGAGGAACCTACCATTGTTGCTGTCGTTGTTGGGGGTGCTGTTGTGTAGCTTTATTCAATAATAGAGGACATTGTCCCTTCTAGTGACCCTTCTGCTTCCATTGAGCATAAGCAACATTCAAAGGTGGCCTACTTTGATTATTAGCATGGGATCTTTGAAGAGTTCATAAGATAAATGGAATATATGGTATAGCAATTCCCTTGTCTACATGAGATTTGAAGCCTATCTCCAGCCAACAATTCATTGACTACCAAATTAACAGAAGGAAGAGGACTACGATGTAAGATCGACACACGAAGTCCATCAAAATCGTCACGTAGGGCCATCAAAAATTGTACCAATTTTTCTTTCCTTCTAACAATATAAGGAGGAAATGTTTGTAATTTCTACAAATTCTGGTAGCGGCAATTATCCCATAAATCTGCCATATCAGAGTAAAAATACTGAACCCTCACACTCTTCTATTAAAGGACGTGAATATACTTTTTTTTTTTTCAAAGTTAGATTGTGTATACAGTCTAGCCGATGCTCATAAACCTCCTAAACAGTGTCAGACTTAGTCAATTGCGTGTCTATCAATTGCATAACAGAATTATTAATCTAAGTAATAATTATTGAATGATCGAATTTACAAGTACCTAACAGTTCTATATAATTGATAACCTTATCATTCTTAGGTTTAACACAGGTGCCCAAAACATAATTCGACATCGTTTTGTCCTTCAAAAATTTTCTCATCACATAACTCCAATAAGAATAATTCTTCCCATTTAATTGTACACTAATGGACATATCCGACTTTCATCCATTTAGAAATAAACGAACAATTACCAATAAAAAAGTACAAATATCGAGTTGCGAAATCAAACCAAAATCAAATGAGAATTAGTGGAAGCCAAAAAATACTGTACGATCGCTAAAAAATTAGTTGGATCCATGAGAAATGTGAATGAGATATGACATTCTTCAACAAGATCAATAGATACTATGTTAAATTACAATACAAAATATTAAGAGAATAACAAAAAAGAGGCTATGGTTTTGTCGTTAATTGCGTAATGAAAATACAAGAAAAAAATAAGCGTTAAATAGTCTTAGAAACTGATAAGTAAAATGACGAATTTTCCCTCAAGAAAAAACTAACATATTTAGAATTAGTTTGAGTCCCATTTCTATTCAAAATGAATTATTAAATAGTATTTTGATGAAAAATGTGTGATTAAAAAATATAATAAAAAATTGGGTTTACGTGTTATATTATTTTATTGAAAAAAATACGTGGTTGAAAATAAGAAAAAAGGAAAATGTATTTTCAAAATAACGAGGATCAAACAAGTGCTTAACAAAAACAACTTTGGACAAGTAAGTCGTTTGAGAATTGAACTCTGTCATTTCTGTGCGTAGCCAGTTCAGCTTTTACATGTAATATCCAAATAACGGTAGACCATATATTTGAAAGTCATTGCTTCTTCGTTGTCTTAGCTTAGATTGATATAAGATCAATAGACAACGTTTAGTTTCTCAAGCAGCTTTTGTAGTCAGAATCGAAAGCAAAGCGAAAACTTATAGTGGGGAAGAAATGGAGAATGTAGAAATGAAAATTTGCATCATTTACAATGGATGATTATACATTTTCACACTGCTATGGTCTATTCAAGCATCTCAAAAAAGTACCCAAAAAAAAAAAAAAAAAAAGTTACTTAAAATCTCTCTCTCACAGTCATATTTTCAAGGAAAATGCCGTGTGTACACCTCGTGGTGTACACACGGCTTTACACCCCGCTCACACGGAGGGGAGCCCACGAATATTTTATTACGTGTGGGCCACCTTCCATGTGAGTGTACACCATTGTGTACACACAGCAAGGTCCTATTTTCAAACGTGAATCAGTTCTGGTGATTTGGATGGTATACTGGCAGGTGAGTGTCTCTCCTTTGCTTTCTGCAAGTGAACCAAACATTATTAGTTCACACGACTATAATCATTTGACTTGCATAGGTAATGCCTACAGTTTTTTTTTGTAAAAGTTAACATATATGAAAACTAGACCAACCTTTCCAGCCTCTGTGTTTCTCCAAGCCTTGTCCAATTCATCGAAAACCAAATCTATCGTTGGACGACCTCTGCTCGAACTTGCCACACAAAGTACTGCAATTTGCAATATGGCTTCAAAATCTAGAGTATTCGCACTTCCTTTCAGCCTAGGGTCCTGAAAATCTGTCAATGGACGTTTCCCCATGTTCACATCCTTCGCCTGCATGACTTTCGTTAATCAATACCTTTGATGTTCTCGAAAGACTCCCTTTCTTTCGTGTAGTACACTTACACCATATGAAACAAAAAAACAGGTGATATGCGCATTTTGATCAACAAATGGTACCTTTCTTGTGAGTTGATCTCTTGCCTCCAAATCGAGTTCGATTACTCTTTGTCCGGATAAAAGTTGCAGTATAACAATGCCAAAACTGTAGATATCACTAGCACAAGTCAATTTGGCATTGCTCATATATTCGGGGTCCATATAACCTATGGTTCCGCGGACATCTGTAAATACTTTAGTCTCATCCATTCCTAGCATCTTGGCTAAACCAAAATCAGACAGCTTAGGAACAAACTTCTCAGTCAAAAGAATATTAGTCAGCTGCAAAACCAACAAGCAAGAAACATGATCAAAATAGCATCATAATTTGATGTCGAGGCAAATATGTCGTATCTATGAAGTATTTTATTAGTGAGATAGACGTTTGTCTTCCCTTTCCAAATGAAGTGGCTCAAAAATATCATAATAATTTCAAGTAATTTACCGATTTACCTTGATATCTCTGTGAACAATGCAGCCATCTATATGATTATGGAGATATTTGAGAGCAAATGCGCAGTCCCTTAGGATTTTGACCCTTCTATCCCAAGTTAGGACAGTGTCTTTCCCTAAACATAGATAAATAGGATTAGATATTTTAACCATTAGAACTGATCTCCTAAGCAAAAGTGCTTAGCTTATCTCCCACCACCTATTGCAGTGTGTCATGGCATCTGGTGCTTAGGAGATCAATTTCGTTTTAATCACAATGTTTCAACGGACTTAAAGTAATCAAACTACAGTGATTAGAAAAGAATGTTGTGTACTCAGAACATTTTGAGCTAGATTTCCGGCTGAACAATATTCGTAGACTAAGTACTGATCACCATTTTCAATGCAGCAACCAAACAGGCAGACAAGGTTTGGATGTCTAACTCTTGAAAGACCATCGATTTCTCTGTAGAAAGAATCTGAAGTGTTGCTCTTATTACCCTTATATATTTGCTTAATTGCCACGAGTTGTCCACTGGGTAGCATCCCTCTGTAAACCTGCCCTGCACTGCCTCTTCCAAGGTACTTCTTTTCACCACCATAATGAAGTGCATTGTTAATCTCGGTTTTGGAGAATCTATAGAGGCCAGACAATTCGGAAGTAATATCTGTTGTCTGAACAGGTTTTTTCTTCTGATTTCCACTCTTCATTCCACAGTTTATCAGCATAATGATGAATGTTAGCCCAATGATCACTAAAACAATTGCAAATATTGTTTCTGCCAGTGTATCTAACACATTTTATATGAGAATCAGAATGAGCGTTTCCTTTATATGGTAATTTTTTGTTTTTCAATTTAACAGAAGGTATAGACGCTGAAATGAATTTATACTTACAGTTGAGTTTAAAGTAATTCCCAGCCTCTGTACAAGCAAATTGCAAAAATCATTAGCAATTAGCATACCGTAGCGTATTGAGCATTTTAGTTTATCATCAGAACTTCAAATAGTAGCTATAGGCAGAAATATATGCTATTAGGAACAAAATCTGTGTACCTGGAACTGGAACAGCCAAGGCAGGCAAGCACCTGTCGAAATCATTTACTATAGAAGTATTATTCATGTTCCTAGCTATTACTGAGACAATAAGAGCCAAAAGACAGGTAGCTTTTTCAGTTTCGTTTCCCTGAGCCGACATAGCATCTCTCGCATTTGATATTGCCGTGGTGCAGTTTCCACAGGCATCATCAAATAAAGAAGAATTGAATAGGGAACACTGGTATATAACATCTTGATTTTCTGCGAAGATGTTTGACAATTGAAGTAGAGAGCAATTTCCATTTCCATTTCCATTGAAAAAATTGTCAAAGCCACAGGTTTCAAGAGAAACACCAGGCTGAAGCTCAAAGGGATTGCTACAGTTTTTCCACTGATTTTCCGGGATGAAGATACTTCCCAATGCATCATTTCGTGCGTGCAGGGCTAATGCGTGTGATAACACTTTGAGGGCATTTTGGCAGCAACTCGTTTTCGGGAAACTATTCCAGTTCTTGTCCGTTTCTTCAACACTAGTGCATCCACCAGTTGGCTGGTAAGGATATGCGCTGAAATCCAACCTGCAAGCTGCATGTTTTTATCTGATTATGAAAATTCTTGCCTACATCGATAATCTAAAGAAGAGTGTTGACCTCAGCAGTCGCCAACTGTCAAAATATGTCGTATGCAAAGCATGAAAGCAACACACGTCCAAGGTAACAGTGGGTAGCCCAGCAAATGAGATTAGATTTTGATAAAAGTTGACGAAATATGCGATCGAAAATTTGATAAAAATTGTAGGTCCTTTGAAGTGCAGTAAAAAATGACTTCCATAAAAATGGTGGTCAAACAGGAACATAGTAAAATTCAAACTGTTTCGATTGACTTGAGTGTTAAAAGGAAGATAAATTTTTATACCTGGATCTACCTGTGATGGTGGTAATGGTTGTGAAAAAGCTTGAACATAGAAGAGAGTGATGAAAAACGAAGAGGCTATCTTGTACTTCATGATTACTGCTTTCATTTCTCTCCTTGTAAAAGCGATTTTAGATGAATAATTTATCAAAATCTGGCTAGAAAAGCTTCATTTCTTCAAAATCCTTCGTTTTTTAAGACAAGCAGTGCATGTATAATATATATAGAACATAATCTTGATTAGAATCCTTAACGTATTCGGATATTCTTATATTATATGTATTTCTTGCTTAGTTTTGCAGCATGGTAAATAACGTTATTACATCGTTCAGGAGAGCATCCGAGCTGTCGTTGGCAAGCACAAAAACAAAAGTACGGAAAAATATACTAATTATCCAGAAAACCTTTGTTTCCAAAGATTATCTCATTAGCAGTTATTGTAGGGTAATAATCCAATTGGCTACTGGTTTTTCGTAGTTTTACTACCATCCTCAAAGTAGTTACCACAGTTTTAAAGTTATTTTTCAACGATTGATTTTTAAAATTTTTAAATAATCACTGCGTTTGAAAGTTTTTTTTTTAGAGGTTGTTGTACTTTCAACGTTATTTCACACCTTCATTAATCTTTAAACATTTTTGAACAGTATCCATACTTTTAAAGTTAATTCTCAATAATTACCGAACTTCAAAAAAATATTTGAACAGTCATTGTACTTTTAAGTTTTTTTCCAATACATTGATCCAGATCGTTTTGGAAAATTAATGATTTTTGTCAATCATAAAAATCGTTAATATTCAACTTGAAAGATATGGAGTGACGGCCGACAAACTATGTTGAAACTAGATAACTATTAAGAAAAATACATTGATTATTTAGATTTTTAAATTGTTTTCTTATTTTAGTGACTCAATTTTCCTATCTATCGTCGAGTAAAAAGTAGCTTTTATCGTATTCTTCTTGTCAGACTACTTGGAATTTCAGATATTTGGGTTGAGGTTGACTCGACAATGACTATTCACTGTATTACTTGGTGTAGAGGATCATGTGCAATTAAAGGTACTCTCAAACATATTAGACACCTTCTTTATTTCGATCGTGATAATATTTTTCATATCTACCGCGAAGGGAACCAGGTTGCAGATACCCTTGCCTCTGATGGGCAGGGCAATCGTCACTACCAAGAGTACGGACCACATGAACTTCCTCGTCGGTTCAGGGCACTTGTATTGATAGATTTGGATTACTTAGCTTTAGAGGTTTGTAATCTAGGTCTCATTTACTTTTGCTGTACTCGGAATATTCATCATTGCATACCACTTTCTAACTATTTTTACTACATTTGTTACTTTGTTGCCTTCTGGATGTCACGTTTATGTCCCCCCTCATTTCCTATGCACTCATCTTTTTCATGATGTGAGTGCGTGTCTAAAAAACCACGATAAAATATGCATATTCATTTGATTTTTGTTTAGAGGTTAGAATTCATCGATGATTCATTATCGTTCATCCTATTTTATTCAAATCAAGTGGTCAACATTTGAAGTTTAGAGTTTTCACAATTTTAGCCCTCTCATGTGTGGTTTCTAATATGCCCCAAGCTTCCTTAGTAGTCTCACACATAGATACTTGTTTAAATTCTTAGGAGAAAATAGCCATAATGATGGCATGTACACCTCTAGTATTTCAGTTATTCTCAGCTAAATCATCTTTAGTCCAAGTAGAGATATATTTATATGTAACAACACAAGCAACAGATGTTGATTATGCCCAAAGAATAACGTAGTAATTATAACACAACTTTGGAGTGTCAATTCCACGGGGAGATGAATGAATTGCTCAAAGGATTCAACAAATTAGGGTTTTCGTGAATTGTATAGAAAGGATTTGTTTATCGAATTAAAATGAGATTTGAATGTCAATGGGTGACATAGTGAAGCGTCGTAATTCTCTCAATTGGTTTGAATCATTCAACATCAACAATTAATGTTATTTTACTCAATTAGAGATATTCAACCTAGTTTCTCTAACCGGAAAATAAAACATTAAGCACCAATTTAATTCAATAGTAATTCTAAAAATTAAACTTTCTAAAACACATCCCGCTTTTATTTATTGAAATAAGGTTCAAGATCGACCATATACTTCAAGTATAAGGCTAATAAAAAATCACACCAATAAAATTAATTGAAATTGAAACACAGACAAATATTTCAATTATTCAATAGAAAAAGCATGATTGAATCCATGAAAAAGCTAATAAACATTATGCCAATTTCGAAATAAATTCATGAAAAAAAATCTAAATCTTAGAATTGTTTAACAATGAAAAAGCAAATTACACAAATCAGAAGATATTGAAATCACCAAAACCAACTGAGTTTCTTTGAAGTTTCATCAAGATCTTTAGTTCTTATGAAAATCTTGCTCAAAAACCAAAGAAAATATATATGGAGACGTGTCTTCTTCATTCTGGGTCATTCTAGGACTTAAGGGGATGTTTGGTAGAAATTATTGGCTGATTTTGAGCACATTTCCGATCGTTACCCGTCGGCACATGGGTCCCATGTTGCAGCAATATTTGAAAATCAAAAAGTGAAATACCTAAGTTGCCCATCAATCATAAGAAATGAATTAACTGTTAAGGGCAACATGGTCATTCTACAATAAATTGATCCAACATTGCCGCTGTGATATCTGATTTCTTGCCATAAATGACTTTTCTCCTTGAAAAGCAAAGGTAAAAATTTCAGTGGAATTTTGAGCAAAATTTCTACTAGACAGCCCCAAAATATCGAAAATGAAGCATGTTTCCATAAGAGTTTAATTGAAATTAGGAAACCGAACTTTGTGCCTCAGGACATGGAACAAATATTTGCAGCCAGTGAGCTCACTAAGCCACCATGTACGACCGTATGGAACAAATGGATGTGGTCGCATGGTTTTGCCACTTTTCTTCGTCGGAGAACTTTTAGTATTTTTGCCATAAATTTTTCTCCCAATATGTGATTGGGGCAATTAAAAAATGAGTTGAAAAGCTAACACAAAGAGCTATAACTTTGCTAGGGATAGCTCTTTTCCAATTCAAATGTTTTCCAATTATGCAATTAAAAATTAAAAATACGTGTATAATGAGAAATTAAAAATAATAAAGAATAATAAGCAACAAGTCACAAATTATTGTATCTAGATGGTTGAGTTTAATCCAATTAAACATAATTATCAATAATCATGTAGATTAAGCAATAAAAGTAAAATCTACACCAAATATGGTAACAAAAGAAAACCAGTTGAAGAACTCTTTACATGGATAAAAATCCTACTTGCAAGTCAAAATGATCCACTAGAAAAGATAACTTACAGGTAGTCTAAACACGACTAAACCTTAGTAGACTCAGATCACACCCAAACTGTAAATCACCATAGAATCTCTTCGATTGTACCTCCAAACCTTTCAAAAACTCTGAACTATTTTTCCATCGGTATAGATCACAAGAACGAACTTCGTTCTTCTTTAACTGGAACTCTAGCTTCCCCTTGGTGTTTGATCTTTGGATTTTTTTTTTTCTTATTTTGATCTTGTGGTTGAGACAAGAGATTTATGCAATGTGTGTTTGATCTTTGTGGGATGTTCAATTAATTGAAATAAAGGCTCAACTAGATACCCAAAAACTGTTTGGGATGAACTGTATATATATAGTGTTTAGGATTATAAAATCTAGGGAAAATTGCAACAACAGTCTCTAGTCTTTTCGTCTAAAAATGTATCAACATCCAATAAAACTGTCTCAGTTGCAGATAGTTCAAGAAATTTTTCCGATTTACTGACGGTGATTTGGACTGTTTCCGTCCAGATGGATTTTGGGTGCATATTTATGAAAAGTTAGGAACCTTTGCTGGCACAAAATGAAAGTTGGGGTAAATTCTGTAAAAAAAAAAAAGAAAAAAAAAAAAGGATAGAGATCCTACTGCAGTTTTCCCTAAAATCTATTGAATTTGCGATCCAGGATTTCGCCAAATGATACCATCTCTCGAGTGCTAGACTTTGTGGTCATCGTGTGGTCAATCACTTCTCGAGCGCTCGAAGCACGGACAATGAGAGGTGAAGGTATTGAAAAGATGCTTAAGCGCTCTTTTGGCGTGTAGCGAGTGATTTTGTGACTATTTTTTTTATATGTTCCATCTTCGACTTCTTCAACACATACTCCCTAATTTCGACTCTTAAACTCAAATTACAACTTAGTAAACTATGATTTTGGACAACTTAATATTAACTCACAGTACAATATTAGATAATCTTAACATTGGAAGTACAAACATGACCTAACAATGCGGAATTAATATCGTTTTTGTCTATGGACTATGATAGATGGAAATTTGACGGCAATCACCTAAACTTTTAGAAGTATCCAAATGAATTAGATTTTTCTTTTTTAAATAGTTTTATATCAATATTACATTTTATTCGATTTCGTTCGCCCATAGTTATGGCATCTATTAGTGGGAAATTCCATATGTGCAGAATTTTCCTTCACAGAAGTCTGACAGAATAGAGATAGTGTGTGAGCTCCATGTATAATAAAAAAATGCCAAAAAGATCACCCACCCACCTTACTTGTGTGTTATCTGTAATGGTTCTGTAAGATTCTTTGTGTAAGTGCAGCTCTCTATTAGTACATCTGCAATGCCTGTGGTAGATGTTGAAGTTGATTAATGAAAAAGTTAGTTTGAAAATGAAAAAGTTGGTTGGAAAAAATTGTCATATTTTGAGAATGCATTCTTGATTGGTCGTAATTTAGATCCCTTATTAGTAAAAAATAAAATTATAATTAACAATTATTTTTATTCACATATTTTATGGAATCCGCAAATTTTAACTTTTATCAAATTTATTAAAAATGTGATTTTAATCCCAATCAAATAGAGACTAAATATTAATGTCTTTTCCCGGAACTTAACTCATAGAACTTTTATTTTTGGTGCACGGCTCCTAAAAGGGGTTTCTCAGAAAGTTAGACCCATGATTTTATTTTTTTTAATTTATTTTTGTAATTGAATTTTGCAGTTGTTTTGAGCCTGAAATTAGCAAATATTGAGTGAGTTGGAGAACGATTTTTTTTTCTTATCAATCTCCAATACAATAGTGGATTGCTAAAACAAGTTGTCACGTAAGCTTGTT